AAGTAGCCACTGGATCCCATGAGAGGCGGGACATTTACTGAGCACCCCAGGTCAGGAAAAGCAGCAGCAGTGACCAGCTGCCTCAGTGCCTGGCGGTGTCCCCAAGGAGGAAGGTCCTTGGCACAGTGAACCCCCGTGAGCTTGGGCGGGCAACCTGGGGGATGCATGGACCCTGGAGAAACCCTCCCCACCAGTGACCCAGAGTTGGGAAGTGGCTCTATACTATCACCCTTTTCATTCCTCTTTCAGGCAACAGAGTAACTGGTCTTGTACTGTTTGAAATGCACAGAATTAAACAAAGACTTGGGACCAGCAGTTAGCGTAATGGCTATGTCGCTAGACTCCCATGTAGTCGACCACGGTTTGAGTCCTGTACCTGGTGGCTTAAACTCACTCTGGGCACATGTGCGTGCGTGCCCAAGATCCCGAGAGGAGAATGGAGAAGGGATTGCGGCGTGGCCATCCTCCCTGGGGGGGTGATTTCTTGCTTTCTGTCTCTCTGTCTCTCTCCGTCTGTCTGGCGAGCGCACAAGTCCTATAGCAAAAACCTCTCCAAAAAAAAAAAAAAAAAAAAAAGAGAGAATTAAACAAAGACTTGAATTTCAAGTTTCCTTGAGCAAAAAAATGCAGCACCTTAAACCTAGTCCTAGCTCTCAAACTTCTGCCAGCCCCTCCTGTGCTGCCTGCCTGTGTTAGAGGCAGCCCTGCAGCAGCATCGAATCTCTTAGGGGCTTGCATCTAGCTAGTGGCAAATTGTGACCTCAGTCCCTTTTCCATGTTCCCTATCCCTATGCACATGTTTCCACTGTGCATTCCAAGGTCACAGCTTCCACCTGCCCTCCTGCCCTAGCCAGGTGGTCCTGACAGTGCCTCCTCTCTGGTACACACAGGCCACACTGACATGTCACACACGACACACCCAACACACACCTCCAACACACATATGTACTTGTAAATTCCTGTCGGTTCCTTATTTTTTAATTTTTAAAATGTTTATATTTTTAGTTTTTGCCATAGGGTGCATGCGATTATCAGAGAGATAGAAAGAGAAATTGAGAAATCATCCCCTGGGGTATGGCCACATCATAATCCCTTCTCCATTCTCTGCTGGGATTTGGGGCATGCATGCACATGTACCCAGCATTAGTCTCAAGCCAGTGGATCTGGGAGTTGAACCATGGTCAGCCTTGTAGGAGTCCAGCGCCCCCACAACCATGCTACCCACTAGCCCTTCCCTAGCATGTTTTTCAAACTGCTGGGACCAAGATTCAAACCACAGTTGGCCATGTGGGATCCAGTTCCCTTAGCTATGACTAGGCCACTGGGCCAGCCCCATTCCAATAGCTTTTCTGTTTGTTGAAAATAAAATTTAAGAGAGGCCAGCAGGTTAGGTATACTGGTTAAGGTGCTGGACTCCCACGTGGTTTGAATCCTGGACCTGGCAACTTGGAAATCATGCTGGGCACATGTATGTGCATGCCTAAAATCTCAAAAGAAGAATGGAGGAAAAGGGATTGTGGTGTGGCCAACTGCCTGCGGGTGATTTCTTGCTTTCCCTCTCTCTGTCTCTCTCTGGTGAGTGCACACACCCTACAGCAAAAACCTAAAGAAAAAAAAATCATCTCTATATTTTTGGGCAAAATATTAAAAATTAACTCATGGTCCATTTTTGAAGTCCTACACATGATTCATTTCAAATGCACTTTATTGTTTATCATGCACCCACACCACAGTAATGTAATGGGTCACTTTTAAATTGGTTTAAAGTGGTCTATAAATTGTGCTTTTTCACGTAAAATTAAAGTATGCTAAATAGCACAAGCCACACGTTAAATAAGAAAAAGTGAAAGGCATCAAGTAAATTATGATTATTAATATTGCATTAGAAATACTTTGTAAGACATTTTTTATGTTCTGTTGTTCTAAAATAAGATACTAAAATTAAGATAACTTGAGGCCAATGTTAGGTAGAATGACTTAAAAATATTTCTTTTTAATTGCAAGAAGGTATGTGTGCTCACCAGAGGCAGAGAGAGGAAAAAAGGACCCCTCAATGAAGCTTGGTTATTCTGTAATCACTTCTTCATTTCTTCATCCTGTTGGGATTTTGATCATATACACACACATACCCCATGTGTTTCTCAGGCCACCAGGGCCAGGGTTCAGGCTGCAGTTAGCCATGTGGAATCTGGCTCCCTTAACTGGCTCACGTTAAATGTTAAAGGAGTTTGTTTTTGTTTTGCTTTTAGATTATGCATCATGTTAAAAAATAAAATCATGAGTCAAAAACTTTGGGAAGATAGTGTCTTTTCCTCAATTTGGTCATTTGGTAGCATTACACAGTAAGCTTGTTAAACAAGGAGATTTCTGGTTCTCACCAAGATCTGTGGCAGAGAGTGTCCAAGAGGGAAACCAGGCACCTTTACTTCTTTTTTTAATCATTTTTTTTTTTTCAGAGGTTTTTGCTATAGGGCACATGTACTCGCCAGAAAGACAGAGAGAGACAGAGAGATAGAAAGTGAGAAATCACCCCCCAAGGGGATGGCCATGCCGCAATCCCTTCTCCTCCATTCTCCTCTCAGGATCTTGGGCATGAACACACACACCTGGCATGAGCTTAAGCCGCTGGGTCCAGGATTCAAACCGTGGTTGACTACATGAAGTACAGAGACATAGCCATTATGCCAACTGCTGATCCCAGCACTTTTATTTTTAATAAGCATCCCAGATGACTCTGATGATGAGCCTGGCGTGGGGAACACCCATCTGTCAAAAAGAAAGCCCTAGCAGTTAGCGTAATGGCTATGTCACTGGACTCCCATGTAGTTGACCGCGGTTCAAGTTCCGGACCCAGAGGCTTAAACTCATGCGGGGCGCGTGTGTCCAAGATCTCTAGAGGAGAATGGAGGAGAAGGGATTATGGCGTGGCCATTCTCCCTGGGGGATGATTTCTTGCTTTCTGTCTCTCTCTGTCTTTGACTTTCTGGTGAGCGCACGTGCCCTATAGCAAAAACCTCTCCAAAAAAGAAAAGAAAAGAAAAGAAAGAAAGAAAGAAGGGATGTCCTTGAGGGAAAAAGAAGCCAGAAGAGCAGGTTTGTTGGTTTGTAGGCTGGCAAAGGAGCACATTAGGAGGAAGGAGGCCAGATGTGAATGTGGTTCTGCCCTGGAAGAACCTTGAAAGCTGGTAAAAGACAGGAGACCTGGGAAGGGTGGGTGGAGAGCTAGGTGAGGATTAAAGGCGTGAGTTACTGCAGCCCAGCAGACCCAAGTGCTCACCTCAGATCTGTCTCTAAGCACGAGACCTTGGGAAAGCCGCTGGTCTTGGGTTTCTCATCTGTATAAGGGGCTTTAAAAAATCAGCCTCCTGGGACCAGCAGATTGCGTAATGTTTTTATCACTGGACTCCCATGTAGTTGACCGTGGTTCAAGTCCCAGACCCAGTGGCTTGCACTCATGCTGGGCGCGTGTGCGTGCGTGCTCAAGATCCCAAGAGGAGAACGGAGGAGAAAGGATTGTGGTGTGGCCATCCCCCCTGGAGGGTGATTTCTCGCTTTCTATCTCTCTGTCTTTCTTTGTCTTTATGGTGAGCGCACCCGCCCGATAGCAAAAATCTCTCAAAAAAAAAAAAAAATCAGCCTCCTAGGATTGCAGGACTAAACAAAGTCATCCAGGCAAAGATTTTACCCAAAGAAACTAAACAGAAGTAGAAAATACGAAGAGAGACTGGGAATGACTTTGAAGAGTGATTTTTGACTCTGCCTTTGACTATGTTGGTGAAATTATCATTATCATTATTATTATTATTGAGACTGTAACATCTTAAAAGTTTTTTTTCTTCTTTTCTTTCTTTGCTCTATGAGCAAGACACAAAGAGAGACAGAGAGAGAAGGAGAGAAAGAGACGGCACCTCCCACAGTGTCTTGATGCTGGGGTCTACTTCCAGCTTCAGTCAGCCTGGGATCACAAGCACCCCCATGCCTGAATGACTCAGGGAAGTCTCTGGCCTTGAACAGGGAACCTTCCCTTGTGGGTCAGCCTTGCAGAGCACTGGGTGCCATTGCTGTATCACCGTTCAGCTGCTGAAACTGCGACTGGTCTATTATCCTATTTGTGTAGTGATGAACAGTTAATGCATGAATTTCTTGTAGTGATCAACAGTTAATGCCTGAATTCCAGCAACCTGGGGGCTCAGAGCATTTCCCTCAGCTGGCATTTCAAACATGAAACATTTTCTCCAAGCCTGACATTCTTTGTCTTCAGGATGATCAAGTTACAACACTTGGCAAATGGGGCTATACAACGCCATAGTTTCAACATAGTTTTTACAAGGTATTCTGGGTGAAAGATGAGTGTTCTAGAGAAAGGGATGTTTTTAAAAAGAAGTTGTTTAAAGCCACATTTTTTTATAATTATTTTCTTTAATTGTATTGATTCATCATTTATTTTCATTTGACCAGAGGGAGACAGAGAGAGAGAGAGAGCGAGCCACAAAGTCCCGGACTCAAAACATGGTTGGCCATGTGGGAATGTCCAGCACCTTAACCACCATGCCACCTGCAGGTCCCGAGAAAGGGAGTTTTAATAGCATCCATTTCTAGTGATTAAATGGAGAAGCCAGGTTGGGAGGGTGGAGGGTTGCTCATGCTGAGATCTTTGATTTAATGCTCACCAAAAGCATTCTTTCAGATCTTTCAGTAATGAAAGTGTAATTGTTAGCTAGACTTACAAATTGGAGCTATAATTCTAAAGGCTGCAGAGTAACTCACTAGAGGCACAGGGGCTGGTAATGAGATGAGAGGCTCAACTCTCAGACACCACGCAGAAAAAAAATACATAGTCAGATGCCTTCATGTATCTTTCAGGAAGGTAGGGATGGGTTCCTAGTGAGGACCAAACCGATGTTATGCAAATATAGTATGTATATATTAGGGAAGTGATGAAAAACAGACAGCAAGTGCAAGTAATTTTGCAATCTCTCTCTCTCTCTTTTTCCCCCTAGACAAGATGCAGCTGGTTCCGAATCACCACCCTGGGAGGATGCCTCCTCTCTGGGCCCTGGCTGGTTCTGAAGAATATGGATGGTAGGTCTGGGAAGGCGCATGCTAATGAACGCCCTACCAGGCGGGTGAGCAGCCTGGTGCTGACGATGCAAACTGAGCTGCTATAATAAGGCGAAATGGAGGGAAAAGAATGAAATGATTATTTTCATCTTTATCCTTTGTGGTTAGACATGGTTACCCTCCACCTATTGTCAGCGTTGATTGTGTTTTCCTATCTCCTCCTTCCTTCAGACACAGGCTCTGAGCCACTTAAAATGATTAGCATATTTCAGCAGCAATTCTGACAGCAGAAGTATGCTGGGCGGTGATAATTCTTTTTATCAGAAAAATGAAATTGGAAGTTTGAGACATCCCTGTTCATAACGTTAGAGGTCGATAGATTCTTCCCTTGATGATTCTCCACCCCCAGTCCCAAGTTTGCCAGAAATCCCAGACGTGAAATGTTTAAGTGACTTTCATAAACAGCGTGAGCTATCAGCTCTGACAGATCTAACGTGCCATTTACTTGAAAGGCCTCAGCTGTGTGCCTCTCAAACTTGGAGCTCAGTGTGGAAGTGGGCTCAGTACCACGGAAAAAGTGTCCCTGCAAATGGGTGAGAAATTGGGGCCAAAATGAATGGTCTGATGTCTGTGTGCGTAGAAAAAAAACTCCAAACCTTATTTTCCAGGTAGCATGGGTAGAAGGTACAGATAGCACGTCTGCAGCCCCATACATGGAAACAACACCCTAAATAACTCATCTTGATTCCATTAAGGATGTACATTCCCGACACATGCTTTCTACTTTGAGAACACATCTGTGGTAGAATTGAAAATGGGTGTAGAAACTTACCAGCGGTACCAGATGATCAGCTTCTAGATTATCATCTTTTCTGCCCTGCAGTCAGCTAACAAATCTAAATTTTGAAAAGATAATGGAAAACCCTAACACCTAGTTACCATTCAAGGAACATAGTTTATATTTTATAGTTTATATTTCTCTCTTGCTCATGGAAGAATGAATGAATGAGCGGTGAAAGTCTGGGAAAAGATGTGGACAAAGAGGCTTTTGCAAGAACAAAAATATAGTGTTGAATGAATATGTTTTTAAATTAAGAATTTGAAAATGTATACTTATTAAAAACATTACTGTTTAACTGGGTGAATAATAGTCATAGATTTTGCATCTGGATTTATAAGAAGTAAACTGGGGGTGGGGGGGACCAGCAGTTAGCGTAATGGCTGTCGCTGGACTCCCACATAGCCGACCACAGTTCGAGTGTCTGACCCGCCGGCTTTAACACAAGATCC